ATGGAATAAAGGGAGTGATGACCTCAGAGCCAGCCCCACCTCCCCCTGCCTGCCCCTGCAGCTAAGCTTCCAACTTGTGAAGAGGAATTTTTAAAAAGTGAAAAGGTATTAAAGAAAAGCCTAGGGCTGGGTGTGGTGGTACATGTCTTTAATCCCAACACTCAGAAGGCAGAGGCTGACAGATCCCTGAGTTCAAGGCCAGCCTGGTCTACAGAGTGAATAAAAGCTTAGGTAGTGAAGGAAACCATGAAAAACAGAAATCTGATGAAAATGTGCTTGAATGAGTTGTCCATGTTCTGGCCCCAGCAAGCAGCAGACCACATCTTCAGCCACATTCTTCTCTAAAATATCAGAAGAACAGTCTCTAGGCTGGTTAATAATATTCTCCCCTGAAACCTCTTGAGCTAGGCCACCATAATCCATAGTGCTCTCAGCACCACTCTCTTCCCCATCCCTACTAGTATAGCCTTTAATCCCTGCTTGAAGTGTTCAAAGCTTTTCTAGTCCAAAGTCCCAAAGTCCACATCCCACCAACGAGCAGCAAGGTCAGGCCTGTCACACCAGTACCTGACTCCTGATACCAACTTTTGTCTTAGCTGGTGTTCTGTTGCTATCAAGAGATGCTGTGACCATGGCAACTCTTATAAAAGAAAGCATTTACTTGGGGTTTGCTTACTGTTTCAGAGGTTTAGTCCATTTTTATCATGGTAGGAAGCCCGGCACCATGCAGGCAGATATATGGTACTGGGGTAGTAGCTGAGAGTTCTACATCCAGATCCACAGAAAGCAGGAAGAGAGAGTGACAGTGGGCCTGGCTTGAGCTTTTGAAACCTCGAAGTCCACCCCCAGTGACACACTTCTTCCAACAAGTCCACACCTGCTAATCCCTTTTAAGTAGTGCCACTTCCTGATGACCAAGCATTCAAATCTATGAGCCCATAGAGGCCATTCTCATTCAAACCATCACATTGACGGCATTTTATCACAGAAACAGAAACCCTAAGACAGTGGCTATAATCTCTCTGCTTGACAATAAGCCACAGGGGTGGGGTGGGGGGGACATGGACAAGGACACCTGCCTCTCAAACCCCAGATTCTCCCCATTGTCTTCTGGTCTCTCATAACCTGCTCTGTGTGGTCCACACCAGGGGCACCTGGGGAAGGGAAGTAAGTACACTAGGAAGCTCATCCTGGAGGCTGCATTTTATGGAGCCATTGGAGTTTTGGTCTTCCCATTCTACCCACTTATTCCTGAAAACCCACTTGCTAGCTACACAGGGCAATCAGAGTTCCCACCAGCTCCTACATCAACCCCTCCCAGCAGCAGCTGGTGCTGTCTGAAATTCCCCATGTCCTCATTCCTTACAGAACTTCTCAGCCTTTCTTTCCTCTCAGTTTTTCAGCAAAGAGGGGCTTTTCCTGTTGTGCTTCTGCCACACACTCACTCATCCATTCATTCACTCCACATACTTCACCCTAGGGGACACTCCCCATGCTTTATTCCTCAAGGCTCCTCTGCCAACCCCTTGAGTCCTGCTTTTGCCAGACTGAGAGCATCCAGAAGCTCTGGGTTGTCAGACAACATCTAATGTTCTGATGGTGATGGTAGAGTGGGAGGAACCAGAGAGGAGACAGGTGCACAGGGTGGGCCTTTCTCAACGAGTGTGGCACCACAGTGCTCCACGTGCATTTCATCTTCAAGTTCTGATAATATGTGGGGAAGTTCCTCCTCTGTGGCCAGTGGCTCTCTGCTTGACTTCATTCCTGGGCTTCCAGTGGGGTTTCTTCTCAGTCCTGCGACACAAAAGCCTGAGACTCTCACCCATGACAAGCAGCTTCAAGCGGCCAACCCTCCTTCTCCTCTCCCCCAGGACCATTCACTGTGCGATGCTGTGGCCGCTGCTGCCGTCCCTGCTGGGAAGGTGAGTGGGGGACTAGGAAAGGGACTGGCAGGACAGGACCAAGCTGCCTCTCATTTCTTTACAGGGTCCCTGGCTCAAGATCCAAGATACTGGCTGACAGTGCCCAAGTTGGTGACAGTGGAGGAGGGCCTGTGTGTCCGTGTGGCCTGCAGTTTTTACTATCCCTCTAGGTACTATTCTCGATCTGTCTTTGGCTCCTGGTTCCAAGAAGGGGCCAATCTACATGAAGACTCTCCAGTGACCACAAATGACCCCAGACAATTAGTGAAGAATGAAACACAGGGCCGATTCCATCTCCTTGGGGGCCCACAGAAACATGACTGTTCCCTGCTCATCAGCGATGCCAAGAAAAGTGACATGGGAGTGTACTTCTTTGGAGTAGTTGAAGAACCTTTCATAAGATATAATTACAGAGAAAGCCATCTGTCACTGCATGTAACCATAAGCAATGAAGTCACCTGCAGTATCTTAAGAGCCTACAATGCACGGTGTGTGTGTGTGTGTGTGTGTGTGTGTGTGTGTGTGTGTGTGTGTGTGTGTGTGTGTGTGTGTTGGGGGAGTTGTGCTTCATCCTGGGTGGATCCTGTGAAACTGTGAAACACATGCATGTGAGGGAAGATGGCTATCACGAGGCGGAGTCTGCTGTCTGGGTACATTTGAAGGTCTCTACCATGGCTTATGTCTCTGTCTCTCCTTCCCTTCCTCCCTCCCTCAGCTCTAACACAGACTCCTGACATCATGATCCCAGGGAAGCTGGAGGCTGGCCATCCTAGCAACCTGACCTGCTCTGTGCCCTGGGCCTGTGAGCAGGGCACACCCCCCACCTTCTCCTGGATGTCAGCTGCCCTCATCTCCTTGAGCCCCAGGACCACAAACTCCTCAGGTCTGACTTTCACACCTCAGCCTTAGGATCGTGGCACCAATCTCACCTGTCTGGTGACCTTCTCTGGAGCTGGTGTCACTGTGGAAAGGACCATCCAGCTCCAAGTTACTTGTGAGTGTTGGATCAAGAAACAGGGCCCTGAGTATAAAGCAGGAGCTCATGGTGACTATGTCCTGGTGGCCTGGCTATTCATGGGTCCTGGAAACACACAGGCCCTGTCTTTCTGACTCTACGCTCTCTTGGCTAGCTATGGGAAGTCCTGTCTTGTCTCACCCTCAGCTCAACTTAACATGGAAATTCTTTCTCAAAAAGATTCTGTACAGAATCCCTCATTTGATGTCCCCCTAAAAGCTGGCACAGGAAGGGGGAGTTATCGTGGGCTAGGGGAGCAGGGCCTCTTCAGCTCAGCACACAGACAACCTACCCTCACTCTGGAGACAGACTCCTTGCTACAGAACAAATGCCCCCACCTTATCCACAGCCTACACAGATGCATGAACACCTGAGCCCACAAACTCCTCTATGCTTTGGACCTCTACACATGGCCCTTGGCTACTACTCAAATACAGCTGAGTCCCACATCTTTCTGAATTTGACAGTTAACTGAGAAGCAGATCTTTATTTTTTATAATTTTTATTTAAAAAATTTCTTTCCTTTTACATAACAACCCCTGTTCCCTCTCCCTCCTCTTCTCCCACTCCCCCCTCCTCCCCCCATCCCACCCTCTTCCCCTCCCCATAGAGGGTAAGGCCTCCCTTGGGTAATCAACACAGGCTGGCATACCAAGTTGGGGCCGGACCTAGCCTCTCCTCTCTGAATCAAGGCGAGTAAGGAATCACACCATAGGGAATGGGCTCTAAAAAGCCAGTTCGTGCACCCAAGATAAGTCCTGTCCCATTGCCAGGGGACCTCTGAATGTGGGGGAAGCAGATCTTAATGAAGTGTGGACAAAGGTATTTTCCTCATGGAGAGAGATGAAGGGGTCTGTTTTCACCTATCCAGTTCGGAGCAAAACCTTTTTGTCTTCTTTTGGGTCTTGGTGCTGGAGACTGATCCTGGGATGAGCCCTGAGCCACACTCTAGCCTCTGAGAAATGCTGTGGATTTCTGTCATCAGGAGAACTTTGGAACTGCTTTGTTGTTTTTACATAAGTTTTATATAAATTCCTACAGCATTAAATTCATCACCAACAACTGTCAAATAATGAGTACTATGGGACTCCAGAACCTTTGCATGTCCCCAGATAGAAATCCTGCACCCACAGCACTGCCATTCTCTAGCAAACATTGACCTGATGTGGTCTCTGTGCATTTGCCTCATTTGCACTTTGCAGAGAAAAGGAAGCCTTTTGAAATGAGTCCATTTGACTGCTGTTCCCCAGCATCCTGTGTTCAAGTTTAATCTCTGTGGCAAACAACAGTATTGCATTCTTCCACAACCTAAACCACACCCCAATGTTGCATATACCACACATCAGGAGGGAAATTGCCACCAGGGAGACGGTAATTCTACTCTTCATCCTAAGTGTCCAAAGGCTTCTACAGTGATAGCTTCCCATCTCCTCTGGCAGCACACGGGAGCTCCACACATTCCCACCAGTGCGGTCACTTCCCCCCTGCCATTGTGTGCAGAGATGACATTGGCACTAAAGTAACAGTGAAGGAAGGAGAGAGTGTTTCCATGTGCTCCTTGCTCATTTGCATATCTCCTGAGAAGTTCTATCCTAAGAGCTTGTTGCTATTTACGGACTGATTTGTTTTGGTTCCTTGCGATGTAAACTCACTTGGGCTGTGAGAGTTCATTCTGTCTGCTGGGGAGCTGACTCATCACAGTTATGACATCAAGTAAGTTTTCCTATTCAGTGGGTTATGTTTTCAAGCTGTTGATACTGTCAGTCAAGAAACCAAATATTCAAGTCCTACTGAGAGCGAAAGGACTTGGGCTATGGTTTCCAGGTGAGTCCAGCCCAGTGAATATGTTTCTGCAGGGAAATCAGGTCAGATGGCAGAGGTGGTCCTGGTGGCTGTGGGTGAGGCATCTGTCAAGGCTCTGTTTCTTGGGCTCTGTCTCACACTTCTGAGGTGAGTGCTGCCCCTGAGATAAAGAAAAGGCCTGGGGAGGGCAGGAATGGAGGGGGGGTGAAGGGATCTGCACAGAGCAAGTGAAGCAGGGGTTTGTGGGTAGGGGACTGCACATGGGCTAGATGTCTGTGCTCAGCTTTGGTGTATGTGGTGACGACTCATTTCAACAGTGAGGTGGTGGCGGCTGGGCATGTCTCTCTATCCCTCTCCAGTCTCTGGCCAGAGCACATTGCGGGGAGCTGTTTCACACAGCCCCTCAAGTGCCCACGCTGAAAGCCTTGGTTTCCTTACTTAGTGTGATGTTCTGCAGAAAGAAGTCAGCAAGGCTGTCACTGCACGTGGACTATGAAGATCCCATCAAGGTTAGTCACATGGGGTCATTGCATGTCACATCTCCTTCATGTCCTCCATGTGGTAGCTGTCCCCTGGCTCAGCCACCCATATCCACCCTGAGCCCACCTTCCTGCTGGGTCCCACAATGCTTCTGGATCAGAGGTCCCATCTCTGTCCAGAGTATAGTGTGAGTCTCTCTTGCTCTTTCCATTCCCTACTCCATGAAACATCACCCAGTCTCTCTCTCTCCATGCTTCAGCCCACCCTTACCTGTTTCTCCACACTGACCCTAGTCCTCCTTCTTCCCTCCTTGATTTCTGTGGAAGTGTGCTTTATTTTCCTCTCCTGGTAAACATCACAGGGATCAGAAATGTTGTAGTAAGCCAGAAGCAGGAAATGGTCATATTCTATAATCACTGCCAATCTCCAACAGCATCTGACACTGTCTCCAGGATGCTTCATGCACCTGTCTGTGATAGACACCTCATGACTTGTGCTAACAGCATTGCCATGGTGTCTCTACCACACAGAGACCCACAAATAAAAGGTGGGCTTTGTGGAAACTGCTGTTCTTTAGTCTTTCTCTGGTTCACCTACATGGCAGCCACATTAGCTATCACATTTTGTTCTCACAATCCGTCTTCATGTCTCTAACATCTCATTTCTGCATTGTTGACCTCCTGTGGACCCAGTACTCCTGGCAACTCAGGAACATCTAGGGTGAGTGGAGAGCACTAGATGGGTGAGCTTGTGAAGGACCTCACCCATACCAGTGAATGACCAAGTGATAGCTTCAGAACCCCTCGTGGAAGGAGAATGAGCAGGTGACTAATTATAATGAATGTTCTGCACAGACACATTCTATCTCAGTGAGTCCCCTCCCTGTGCCCTACTGTGACCCTTTTCTTCCCTCTCCGAGAAGACTCATCAGCAGGACTCCAAGATGCACAGTCACCCTGAGAATCCAAGACCCTCACGGGGGACTCACCTTAGGAACATAGCAGTATTTGAACTATGACTCCCTAGGTTTCATGGGGGTGAGACCTCAGGAGTACTCAGAGATCCAAACCTACCAAGAAACTGTCAGGAGCACTGCTCTCATGTGAAGCACCTGTGTCCTCTATGGCTCCCCAAAGATCATTTCTGGATCCCTCTCATTCCAATAGACTATGGGCTAAACTGTTGTGTGTGAGTCTCACACTTCATTGAAATTGTCTGATTTTGCAATAAGAGACCTGTGCTCCTTCATTTTCTTCAGTATGACATCACTAGAGGGTATCTCCTCCATTTTTTGGTTTTCCTATTCGGAAAAATGGTCTGACCCTTTTCTCCTCCTGGCTCACCTCTCTTTCTACTTCTCCCTCCCCACATCTCTCATGTGGATGAATATACACGTGTGTGTGCCAATGGTCTTGACCATGAGTACTTGTATGAAGGCCATAGGTCAAAGTTCAGTGTCTTCCTCTATTGCTCTCCACAATACCATCATCATCATCATCATCATCATTATTTGACACAGGGTGTGGTGGTTTGAAGGAAAATGGTCCTCATACACCCACAGGGAGTGGCACTATTAGGAGTTGTGGCCTTGTTGGAGGAAGTGTGTCCCTGGGGGTGGGTCTTGGGTTTCAAATGCTCAAGCCAGGTCCAGTGTCACTTTCTCTTTCTGATGCCTGTAGGTGTAGGACTCTCAGCTCTCTCTCCAGCACCATGTCTGCCTGCCTGCCACCGTGCTTCCAGCCATGATGATAATGGACTGAGCCCCTGAACTATAAGCCAGCCCCAATTAAATGTGTTCCTTTATAAGAGTTGCTGTGGTCATGACGTCTCTTCACAGCAACAGAAGCCCTAACTAAGACATAAATTGGTACCAGGGACTAGAGTATTGCTGTGATAGGCCTAACCATGCTTTTGTTTGGAAGAATATGTAATACTTTGGACTAGAAAAGCTATTGGACATTTTAAGTGAGGCTTAATGGGCAATCATCATAGGGGCATGGAAGACAGTGGTGCTGAGGGTGATTTGAACTTAGATGCCCGGTTCGAGAGATTTCAGATGAGAATATTATTAGTATGTGGCCTAGAGACCATTCTTGTGATATTTTGATGAAGAATGTGGCTCTTTTCTGCCCTTGTCCAAAAAAACTTGCCTGAGGCTAAACTGAAGAATTATAGATTAATGGCATTGGCAGAGGAGACTTCCAGACAGCTGGTATTGATCGTGTTGCTTGGTTATTAGTGGCCAGTCTTATGCAGATCTATAGTGAAAAGGAGCAAGCTGAGCAAGGGAAAACACAAAAAGGACAGTTTAAGGAGAAAAGGGGCACTAGGGAGTATAAAGGAACTAAATCCTGTGTTCAAGGAGATAAACAGATAAAAGTCTGATGCTAAATGGAATAAAGGAAGTGGTGATCTCAGGGTAAGATCTCACACAGCAAAGCTTCCAACTTGTGAAAAGGAATTAAAGAAAAGTTTAGGGCCCAGTGTGGTAGTACATGCCTTTAATCCCAGCACTCCAAAGGCATAGGCAGACAGATTTCAGAGTTCAAGGCCAGCCTGGTCTACAGATGGAGTTCCAGGACAGCCTAGCTTAGGCAGTGAAGGGAACCATGGAAAACAGAAAGCTGGCGAAGATGTAATTAAACAAAGGGACCACATTCCAGCCCCAGAAAGCAGTAGAATCTGGCAACTTCAGCCGCATGGCTCCCGCTTTAGAGTCAAGGATACAAGATAGGGCTTATGAAAGCTTCCTCCATGACTAAAGAAAGCTGCTGAGGCTAGGCATGTGTCAGGGTTGTCCCTGCATGGAGGCCTACAGAGGCCATTTTGCGAAGCTATGGAGATGAAGCCTGGATTGCCTTGGAGATTCCAAGATGTTGGAGATGTCAGAGTTGTGGGATATCTGTCAAGGAAAGCTGCTAACAGGGAGTGGGACTAGCCCAAAGGAAAGAAGTGTGTTCAGTCAACACAAAGCTGAAAGGAGTTGGAGATCTGAAGAGCTGCAAAGAGCTCAAAACATCAGACATAAAGATGCAGAGTTTGGATTTTGCCGAGCTGGTTTTTAGATTCATTTCAGTCCAGTATTTCCTCAATATGCTCCCTTCCCTCCTCTTGGGAACAGTAATGTATATCTTGTGCCATTGTGTGTTGGAAGTATGCGATCTGCTTTTTTAATTTTGATTTTGTAGGGAGTTACAGTTAAAAGATTGCATGAGTCTCAGAAGACACTTTGAACTTTGTACTTTTACAGAGTGCTGATACTGATAGACTATGTTTTGAAGTTGAACTAAATGCATTTTTAATTATGATATGGGTACAAGCCTGTGGGGCAAAGGAGTGGAATGTGGTGGTTTGAATGAAAATGACCCCCATAGGTCCATAGAGAGTGACACTATTAGGAGATGTGGCCTTGTTGAAGGAAGTATGTCACTGGGGGTGAGCTTTGGGGTTTCAAATGCTCAGGCCAGGCCCAGTATCATTCTCTCTTTCTGCTGCCTGAGGATCCTGATGTAGAACTCTAAGCTCCTTCTCCAGTACCATGTCTGCCTGCATGTCATCATGCTTCCCACCACCATGCTTCCTGCCATGATAATGGACTAAACCTCTGAACTATAAACCAGCCCCAATTAAATGGTTTCCTTTATAAGAGTTGCTCTGGTTATGATGTCTTTTCACAGCAATAAGAACACAGGGTCTCTCCCTGAATCTGGAGTCTGATGTTTAGGCTAGACTGACTGGCCAATGAGCCCCTGGGGTCACCTCTTTATGACCTTCAATATTTTCATGAGAGATACTGTTGCAAGTAACTTTATGGACGTGATTGAAATCCAAACTCAGCTCTTCAGTTTGCTCACTGAATACCCTTTGCAGCCTCCTGTATACTGGCTTTCTAGAGAATCAATAGCCTTTCCATAGACCAATGACAGACGCACTGAAAAAGAAATCAGGGGAGCAACGCCATTCACAACAGCCTAAAAAGTACTTGGAATAAACCTAACTAAGGAAGTAAAAGATGTGTATATGAAAACTTTAAAACACAGAAGAGGTAGAGGAAGACACCAAAAGGCAGTGGGGATGACATCCTACCAAAAGCAATCTACAGACTCAATGTAGCCCAATCAAAATGGAAACTCCATTCTTCATCATTTTTTTTAATCCAAAAATGCATACAGATAACAAAATTCCCCACCTAGTCGAAGCACTCCTGAGGAAGAATCCTGCTGGAGACATGGTAATACCTTCTTTCAAGTCATATTACAGAACCTTACTATTTTTTCCTTTTTTATTTAAGAAATTTTTTTATTCATTTTACATACCAACCACAGAGCCCCCTCTCATCCCTCCCCCCAGCCTCCCCCCTGACCCACTCTCCATCCCCTCCCCGCAAAGGGTAAGGGCTCCTATGGGGAGTCAGCAAAGCCTGGTACATTCAGTTGAGGCAGGACCAAGCCCTTCCCCACTGCATTAAGACTGAGCAAGGTGTCCCACCATAGGTAATGGGTTCCAGAAAGCCAGCTCGTGCACCATGGATAGATCCTGATCCCACTGCCAGGGGCCCCTCAAAAGATCCAGCTACACAACTGTCTCCCGTGTACAGAGAGGGTCTAGTCCGGTCCCATGCAGGTTCCACAGTTGTCGGTCTAAAGTTCCTGAGTTCCTATGAGCTTGAGAACTATTAAAGCCAGCATGGTTTGACACAAAACCAATACCAGACCAATAGAATAGGATAAAGGGTACAGATAGAAACCCACATAACTCAGCTACCAATATTTTTTAAAATTTAAATGTTTATTTTATGTGTATTGGTCTTTTTGCCTGCGTGTGTGTTTGTGCACAGGAGGTGAGCCTGCTTGCCTGGGCTGGAAGGCAGCTTCCTACCCCCGGCACTGGAGTTGGAGATGACTGTAAGTCATCACGTAGGTGATTAGACTTGAATCCAGGTCCTCTGCCAGAGCAGCCAGTGCTTCTAACTGCTGAGCTGTCTCTCCAGCCCCAAACTATCGATTTTTGACAGGGAAGTAAAAAAAAA